CTTTGCCTTTCTCTCTTCCTTGATTCGCCTCATAGATTCCTCGATAGTCTTCAAGTCTTCTCCGGCCCTCTTGGCCCGTTCCAATGACTTCTGCCGAAGGTATTTAAGCTCTGCCTGCAGCGTTTCAAGTTCATCTGTAGGGGGGACAGTCTCCGAAGGACTCTTGAAGAGGGGAGACCGCGTCTGAATAGGTAAAGGATAGTGAGGCAGTTTGGACGACATAGCAGCGCTTCCGACGAGTTCGGTAGCTACTAGGCACGTCGAGATTTGGCAACCAAAACCACAGGACAAAGCCAGTGACCGGTTACTGCAGTCTTGCGCGTAACCGATGCAGAGCAAAAGATACTCTGTGTGCCAGATTAGTGACGAGCAAGTAGGTGAGAACCAGACCTTGCTAAGGTTTAAACGCTGACACCTTCAATACCAAGCGTTTTGTCGTTGTTTACATAATCTCTTTTCCCACGTGATCCACAATCGTCACTTTCAGCAAAACCCTAAGTGACCACAGCTGCTCCACACAAGTTTTCCTTGTTCTTTTTCTGGATTGACTGGGACTCGCTAGAGCTCAGAAACCATGCAAGAGGATCCCAGAAATGAAACAGAGTCATTTCTGCAACGCGTCGATGGCAAGGACAGCGACAACATGGAATTAGACACCTTACAAGACATTCTGGTCACACCTCGGGCAAGCTACAGGACGGCCGAATACGACTTGCGGGACTTTGACGACGACGTAGAGCATATAAGCGATGGCAGTGCTGCTCTATTGGGCTCAGGTGGAAGAACCAGGGGGAACGAACGGATACTGTCTGGCACAGGAAAGGTCTGGTCACAAGTTGGCAGTATTGTTGTCGAAGTACGTGGATAGAACTTGCAGGGCAATAATTCCTCTGATTGCTTAAAAAGTGTGCACCCACGCTTCTTATGACTACCATAAGTCTCCTATTCACCGGGGAACTCCTTGACCGTGTGTCAGTGAGTATGGTGGTGACGTCTAAGGTCCCGATTTGATGTGTTTGTAGCGTTGCGGGCAATGCGCACCATCGATGAGCTGATAATGATCGTTCCTGTTGTCTTGAACCTCAAAGGCAACTTGGAGATGAATCTTTCTGCTAGAATGGGAACTGCGGCTAATATGGGCGAACTAGACGACAGGAGCGCACAACGCAAGATCGTGGGTGGTAATCTGGCACTATTGCAAGTGCAAGCTACTGTCGTTGCATTTGTCGCCGCTTGTGTCGCAATGCTTCTCGGTCTTTTGGTCCCGCGGTTATATTCGGGTCCTGTAGACCCTTTTCCACAGAACAGCACCTTATTGCTGACTGCTAGAGTGCCTCGGCCGCCACCGCCTCTAGGTGGGAAACCGAAGTCTGGTTTGATAGAGTATGTGCGGTTTTCATATCGAGCGCGTGGTAGTTAATCTCATGTCAGGTTCACCATGGTGGCTTCTTCAGCTATGATGTCCGCGTGTCTGTCAAGCATTGCCCTCGGCTCCTTCATGTGTTTCCTGGTTATCATGTGTCGACGGTATGGGCGTGACCCAGGAAAGTTATGCTGGGCTTGTATTTAACATGTACGCTAAATTTTTTCCACTTTCAGATAATATTACGCCCCCAATAGCATCGTGCCTTGGAGACTTGGTCACACTCAGCCTTCTTGGTGTCATTTCCTCCATACTGATCAACGTCGTCAATACTCCCATTCCTCTCATTTGTGTCGCACTCACTATTCTCTCCGCGACGTTATGCATATACCTGGTGAGGCGTAACAGCAGTGTCAAGGATCTGATCTACCAGGGCTGGGTTCCACTCTTTGGTGCAATGGTAATTTCTTGCGCTACTGGTATTGTGCTTGATATGTTCGCCTCTCGTTATAAAGGATTCCCTCTTCTTGCAATTGTCATTAGTGGTGAGAGTGGCAACTCTTACTGTCTATATTTTTATAACGCAGGAGAACAGGGCTTCCTGGCAGCGTTGGGTCTATATTTGTCTCCCGACTTTCGACTGCTCTTCATGCAGCATCTGCGAACGCGTCCCTGCACAAAAGCGACCCTTCCCCAAACTTGTTATGGTCACGTTGACTGTCATCACAATTCCCATAGAGATTTTGTTCCTCTGTACTCTACGCGCATTCGGGTGGCTAAAATTACCCATTATATTTGCAATATTATCAGTGTTATTCTTTTGTTGTGCAGTGAGTTTCATGTCCGCTCTGCCCTGATGTTTACTGAAGTTCACTACAGGTCTTCACCTCATTAGTTGTGGCTCGGTTGTTGACCAATTTCTTGTGGTCCAAGGGCCTTGACCCCGATACATACGCTCTACCCATCCACTCTGCCCTGATGGATCTGGTGGGACAATTATCCTTGTATTGTGCTTCGAGATCGTCTCGCTTCTGTGTATCAACTGGTAAATCCCATTATTGCGAATATTACACAAAGTTGTGATAAATACTTTGTGTTTGCTGTCGTGCAGCGGTCTTAGTAAGTAGTGGTAGCGAGAATAAAAGGAAATGTTTGCTTTATTGAAGCAAATCATTTTTAGGTGGAAGCCCTGATCAGTGATAGCGCCCCCAACATATGCAAGAGAGAGCCGAGGTGATGAGCTGCAATTCCCATGGCAGTAGTAGGAGTGAGAGGGACGCAAACAAGTGGAACTTGGATCTCAGATTGTAGGAGCTGCAGCGCGACGCTCCAAGTTGAGGAAAGCGGCATTAGAAAGAAGAGGTAGCAGCTTGAAGGTATCCACGTGGTAAAGGTGCGGGAAAGAGCAATGGAAGGGATAAGGTAAAAAAACCTATATGCCGGGTGGCCTACTACACATCAAGGTGAGTGATAGTTCCCCTATCAGGTTCCCGCCCAGATGGGAGAGAAACCCGACGAGAGTGTGCAACGGCAAAAAGCATCCTCAGGATTACTCCCGCGGCTCTGTAGATTTAAGCCAGTGAACACGCCCTTTGCACTACTTCAATCGTTGAAGCAACACAAAGACCGTACGCAAACGGGCGTGAGCGAGGTTCGTATATGTGCATGAAAGAGTGAAAGGGATGAAGGAAATTAGAGTCCATATATATATAACTAGAAAGTCGACGGCACCAATGCATGGGAATGGCAGGCGGGTTGTCCCAGCGGAGTTCGAAACCCAATAAGGCTCTCACTTCTCCCTATTATTGTCGCATGTGAGTGAGCCCTTTTTGCCTCTCGCCATTATTTGTGACAAGCACCACACAATTCCTCACGGGGTGATTTTTTTTGATCGGATCAACTGTTGCGGAGGTGATATGGTCTCCCCGAGCCAGACCTTTCGAAGGGAAACAATCGTTCCGTCTAATAAAGTGGCGACAGAGATTGTGGGTACGTATAGTTAAAGTGTACGTATTGTCTACGACTAGCACTTGCAGAACACACAGATGGACGCTTGTGAAATTTCTGTGATGGCGTATATTGATCAACGTTTCGCTTCATGCTTCACAGATTGATCCTTCGCGCTTGGGTAGCGGGTCAAGCTATCCCTGATGAGATTTTGTTTCAGGACTATATGCTGGAGTGTTGGTCTATTGTACCTTTGGGTATATATTGATTACTGATTGCAGTGACGTTCGACGTACCGTGACAGCGGTGATGGCCTTGAAAGAAAGGACAACTTTATTCGTTCTCCTCAATGTCTAACTACGAGAAATTAGACGGAGGTTACGTGCGTCATCCCAGTCTCTTTTACTTATGCTCAAATGCGTCATGTGGTTGTAGCTACTCATCATAGACTTCGGTTTCCTCAATCCCAGCCGTGTTATCAATGGCGAAAATAAGCACTTCTAGCTATCTGATGTACCAGGTACCCTTCACCTTCTTTCCTACCTTTGCATTTCCTGTCGCTTTCTTCTTTGTCTCATAGATTCCTTGATGGTCTTCTAGTCTTCTCCGGTATTCTCAGTCTGCCCTAGTGACTTCTGTTGAAGCAGTCTAAGCAAGCCCCCAGCACTTCAAGTTCATTTGTCAGGGGGATGGTCTCCGAGGTATTCTTGACGAGGAGAAACCGCGTCAGCGAAGGTGCAGTGTAGGGCACAGTATGGAAGACATGGCAGCACTGACGACGAGATAGGTGGCTACTTAGCATGTCAGGATTTGACAACCAAAAATACAGGGCAAAACCAATAACCAGCAACCATAGTCTTGCGTCTAACCTAGGGATGATCAAACAGGTGAGAACCAGACCATACTAAAATCTAATCGCTGACACCATCAATACTTATTATACGTCTTGTCGTCGCTTACGGAAGGTATTTTCCCACATCGCCCCTGGCATACATGTCCTGACGTTCTCCTAGGTTGACACCCAAATTAGACGTTCGGTGTGAACCCCGTAACCCGTGTATCACCCAGTTTGGTCGATGTCCACGCTGCATTCCGTAGGAAGATCTAACACACTCAACTTTCCCTCGACCGCCTGGTTTCGTTGATCACATTCTGGTTGGACTGGGACTCGCTAGAGCTCAGAACAAACCATGCAAGAGCCCTCTAGAAATGAAATAGAATCGCCTCTGCAACATGTCAGCGACGACATCGGATTAGACACCCTGCAGGGAGTTCTGGTCACACCCTGGACGGGCTACAGGACGGCCACATACGATTCGCAGGACATTGACGATGATGTGGAGCTTAGAAGTGATGGTAGTGTTGCTCTATTGGGCTCAGGTGGAAGAACCAGGGGACCCGAACGGATACCTTCTGGAAGTGTCTGGTCACAAGTTGGCAGCATTGTTGTCGAAGTACGTGGATAGAACTTGCAGAGCAGAAATCCCTCTGATTGCTTAAAAAGTGTGCACCCACGCTTCTTATGACTACCATAAGCCTCCTATTCACCGGGGAACTCCTTGACCGTGTGTCAGTGAGTACGGTGGTAACATCTGAGGTCTCGTTTTGATGTGTTTGTAGCGTTGGCGGGCAATGCGCACCATCGATGAGCTGATAATGATCGTTCCTGTTGTCTTGAACCTCAAAGGCAACTTAGAAATGAATCTTTCTGCTAGAATGGGAACTGCGGCTAACATGGGCGAACTAGACGACAGGAGCGCACAACGCAAGATTGTGGGTGGTAATCTGGCGCTATTGCAAGTGCAAGCTACTGTCGTCGCATTTGTTGCAGCTTGTGTCGCAATGCTTCTCGGTCTTTTGGTCTCAGAGCTACAGTCGGGTCCTGTAGACCCTTTTCCACAGAGTAGCACTTTATCGCTCACTGCTAGGGTACCCAGACCGTCGTTGTCTCCAGGTGACAACCAGAAATCGGGTTTAGTCAGGTATGTGTGGTTTTCGCATCTAGTGCGTGATGGTTAATTCAATGCCAGATTCACCATGGTAGCCTCTTCAGCTATGACGTCCACATGCTTGTCGAGCATTATCCTCGGTGTCTTCATGTCTTTCCTAGTCATCGTCTGTCGACGGTATGGCCGTGACCCAGGCAAGCGATACCGGACTTGTATTCAACATTTATTCTAAACATTAACAGATAATATTGCGCCACCGATAGCATCGGGCCTTGGGGACCTACTCACACTCAGCCTTCTTGGCGGCATTTCC